GGGTATATTCCCAGTAGTGGTATTGCGGGGTCAAATGTTATCTCTATTTGCAACTTTTTTAAAAAGCGCCATACCGATTTCCACAGGGGTTGCACCATTTTACACTCCCACCAACAGTGAATAAGGGTTCCAGTTTCTCCACAACCTCGCCAGCAATTTGACTCTTGTTTCGCTGCCAACCCATAGACAAGTGGTTTGGATCCACTAGTTGCTCCACAGGAGAAAGATGGGCAATCTCTTCCTGTATGATTTACAGCCTCTGAAAATCAGTTATGAGTCTGCCAAGGTCACCTTCAGCCCACTAGGGTAGGTTCCAGCTCAAAGCAAGGGGAGATAGAGGAGAAAACAAAACAGCACAAAGTGAGTGGTTCATGGAAACGGAAGTCTCTTTTTAATGGAAACAGATTCTTATTCCTAGTTCTAGAGGCTGAGAGTTTGAGACCAGGGTATCTGCAGTGTGATCTCTGTCTGAGGCATTGAGGGGAATTCAGCTGCATGACCCTCTCCTGGCTTCTGGTAGCCCTAGGAATTCCTTAGCTTACAGCCATAGCATCACATGGATGGTTCCCTTCCTCTGCCTCCCTGTCCACATGTATCTTCTACCAGTCATATATCAGATTAGGAACCCTGATATTACAGTAGTGACCTAACTGATAACATCTTCAAAGACTATTCCCAAACCCAGTCACAGTCACTGGAGTTAGGACCCCAGCTTATCTTTTTGGAAGTACAATTCATTCCTTTACAATGCTTTGTAAATATTAATTCATTTCATCATCTTAACCACTTTATCATGTTGCTGTTGTGTGACATCAGGTCGGAACTGACTTGTAGCTGACCCTTCAGCAGGTTTTCAGAAGCAGTAAATGGTACAAGAGGAGATTGTCATCTTTCTCCCACAGAGCAACTGGTGGATTCAAACTGCATGTGTGTGCTAGTCATCATCCCTGTTTTAAGATGAAGCAACTAAACCACAGAATGGTTAAGGACTTGCCCAAGGTCACATGGCTGATCTATCACAGAGCTGGGATTCAAATCTAGACCCTGCACTCAATTCTCATAAGCACTATGCTGAGTACTGTTGTCATTCTAAAGCACTTGTGAAAATTTCTGAAAAGTTGGTAACATTATTTCTGGCTCTACCTTTGGGAAAATTGAGTGTCAAAAAGAAAAGAAATTGGTCTGTGGCCACCATGAAGGCTAGTAGCTGAAATGAGATTAGAGTCAAAGGTCTTGACCTCCATATTGATTTGGAGTGGAGACTCA